TGCTTACACAGTAATGTCACCCTTTGGGTCATTGTAAGGCAGAAGGTAAAGCTGACAAGCGGTGTTTATCTGTCAATGACATCTTGTACATGCCTTGAAGTGTCTCCAAGCTGACTCCCTTGGGAAAAAAATGCAGTCTAGGCTTTAAAGTCTAATCTTCCGTTGTCTTGCTACATGTCGTAAGACCCCATTTGTGGATGCTACATCTATACAAAAAGTATTTCTCATCACTTCTCAATCAAGGTCATGTCTCATTTACCTGGCAGGAAAACAGCGCGTGACAGAGTAGGAAAGTCTTTTTTTTCCTGGCAGGTCTGCAGTGCAAGGCTGTGATTAAACTGATCTGGCCAGGTAAATGCAGGTGTCTTCCACCAACACTAATATATTCAGGAAAATCGTTAAACAAAAAGGACTACCTTCACAAATTAGATGGGGACTTAAGAAGTAACAGATACTCCGAGATGCAGCCTTCTTCCAAGCTGCAGTAATTCCCTCTCTTGCAAAAATAGAAGTTGTGCATTTTTTGGTTGTAATTTTTTAGTCTTCCACCAGCCAGTATGGTAGAAATTGAAATAATTGACTTGTTATTTTTATTGAAAGAAAAGAAAAAAGTGCTCTGTGGTTTATCAGTGATATCAAAATAAGTAAGTTAACCAAAATCTATAAAATTCTATTGTAAATAGAGTATGTGGCAAAGTCAAAATTTAAGCACAAAATCACATCACCATGATGTGATTCTACTGTTGACATGAGAACAGGATTTTCAGGCCTTGTGCCTATTGGGAGGGCACTTGGAACTTGAATGAGGCTTGGGCGATATCAAACCTCATTCCAGAGTCCTTCTGGAGAAATGTGTTTATGGGTTCCTCCTGACAGGAAGGAAGACTCCATCTGCTGCTGTTTCTCACCCTCCATCCTTGGGCTCAGTAAATAACTGTTTCCCAGAGGCTCCAAAGCTCCAAATATTAAAACTGGTGAAAAATGTATTTCTGTTATGTAACATTTAAAAACTTGGGAATCTTTATTAGCACAAAACTAAGATGATGTTTATATTTTAATGAAAACACATAGACACACCAGCATTTTGGATGTTATTTCCAGATTTTCTCCTGTTTAGACTAGGAATCTTTTCCCATTCTCATCTAAACTGATTGTTTCCACCCAGCATTCTTATTTCTCTTGATCAGGTTTTCTCGATGCCAGTAAAACCTTTTAGTGGAAAATTTTTAAATTGAAACATAGAATATTTCTAGTTGGAATGGACCCATCAGGATCATAAAGTCCAGCTCCCTGATCTTCACAGGATTACCTAAAACCAAATTATACCACTAAAGACGTAGTTTGGTTAACTAGTTTAAAGATTTGTCTCTGATGTCTTTGGGGAATGTCTTGATCCTTTGGCTTTGCGACAAGACAAAGATTTTTTTGCGACAAGACAAACAGAGAGTTACTAGAATAGAGACTGAAGTAAGTTAGAGAGTTCAGTCCTAGGAATAGCAGCAAATATGAAGTTATGGATGCAGATCTAGCAGCTGCAAGAGCAAATAAGGGCTTTGGATATTTCACCAAGGGAATTTATTAAAAACAGATGAGAGAAAATGATTTAATTATCTGACGCCTTGGTTAGCTGCTGTTTGGAAACTGCTCAAGGAGCTGAACAGAGTTAAAATAGGATACTCATGTTCTGGAAAGAGACCATGGATGATTAATTGGGGCAGCCATGGAAGGGGAAGGCTCAAAAAGCCTAGCGTATTTGGCTCCTGAGGTGGCTGAGGGCTTACAGTGGTACACAGTCATACTGGAACAAGGATAAATTTTGGTCAGAAGACATTTGCTTTATGGAAGGGCAAAATACGAGGTCACAAGCCAACTTACTGAAGGAGGATATGAGGTGGGATATTTCCATACAGAGACTTGAGGCAGGCTGTGCAAACTACTTTTAGCAATTGTGTAGGTTAATGAAAGGATGACACAGGCTCTAGTTCTATCTATTGAGGCACAGGAGGTGGGCTAGAAAGGTGGAACTCAGCTCTTTCCACCTCATGATTTCTGTGAAGGGTCTGGCTCAATCGTTTGATAAGTAGGCTGGTGATTGAGTGAGAAGGTGGTTCCTGGCTCTTTCACTTGCACAGGAGTTGTGTGTTCAGCACAGAGGAGCTAAATGTTTCCTCTTCTGACTCAGGTCCTTCACAAGATGAGTTGCAATAAAATCAGCTGAGTGACTGACACATACAGGGAAGCAGGCAAGTTTGGTGAGTACCATGCAGTCTGCAAATGTGGAGAAGTATAAGAAGGCAAGCTCTGAATGACATCTATCCGATAGCACCAAAATACAAATAAGTGCTATAGCACAAGCAAGATGGGGTCAACATTGTGGCAGCATTTGTGCAGGAAAAAAAATAAACTGAAATGACTAGGTTGACTTGGATTGGAATATGAAGTATCTGCAGGTGCTTAAGGCATAGACTCATCGGGGAAGTAGACAGCAATAAATAAAATATGGCTTCCTTTCTTAGGAATTAAACAGCTTTCCTTGTCATTGGTAGTATTAAGGTACACTGAGTTATCACAGTCTAAATCTACCCCAGTGGCATCTTCTATAATACTATTAAAAATTACATTACAGGGAAATTGCGAGACTGGAATTTTTTTATCAAAGACAATGTAAAATTAAATGCAATGAATTATACAAGTATAATGTAAGGTTATGAAAGAGTGAAAGGATGAGAAAATTTTCAGATGGTTTTTACCCCACAATTTCAATTTATTTCACGCAGTTGAAGAGCCTTTTTCTTGCACTCTCACTGGCCTTTACAAAAGGGAGACCTCTAGAAGCACATATATTTTCATATGCTATAAAGGCATAGTATTTAATTTTTTCTTCCCATAACCTATATTCTTCCCTTGCTGCCTAACAGAGGTTATAGATCCAATTTAGTTTTTCTATCTATGTCTATACCTGTCAATAAACAAGGGCTAGGGCATGGGTTCAGGTGTGATCTTGTGGTTATCCACACTGAGGGATGGTAAGCATGCTCTCTGGTACCATTTTGGCTCAGGACAGCAAGCACTTTCCAACCTATGCCTACGCATAGCTCAGGCACATGCCAGCAACCATTTCCTGGGTATGTTTTGGCTGCAGTCTCCAGGTTCTGGGGCAGAGAAGGAGTTCTGTTGTGCAGATGAGAACCACAAACCTTCACAGGGCCTCTGGGCCAGTGAGTCGTCTCAGTACGCATTAATTTATTAGTACAAAGGCAGTCTATGAATTAGATTGTCCTTTTGAATATCCTTCTTCCTTTTCCTGTAGAGGAAGCCCTTTAAGGCTGTAACAATAAACACTGGTCTCCAATACTTTCTGACTGTGAGATTGAGATGGAGGTCCTCTTTCACGCATCCAGTGCTCGACTGCGTAATTGTATTTAATCCTGTTTGTATTAACAGGAATCTCCAGACATGTAGTTCTCAGCACCTCTTGGCATATGATGGGTGAAATGCAATGCAAACTGTCTTCACATCTTAAAAGGGGCTACTAAGGAAACACTATGCTGAAGAGAATCAGCAGTTGCTCTTCATCCCACTCTGGTTCCAGCCATCACAGTCTTTGGTTCCCAGATGTAAGTAGAAGAAAGGAGAACAAGAAAAAATGATGTCTGCAATGTTGTTAAGTCTGTCCATGCACCAGCTCCCCAGTACCATCATGGATACACAGAGGGACAAAATCCTGTTACTTATTTAGGATAGTGCTCTATTTGCTTTCCAAGGACAGGAATTCTTTCAGTGATATAAGGAGGTTACCTAGTTAGTGATATGTAACAAAAGAGGAAAACCGTTTTAATATCCCTTGTTTAGGTTCTTGTAGACAGGGATCTTGCTTTTCTCTGTATTTTATAGGCACACGGATCAGTCAAATAATAACATACTACAATGAGTAGAGCAGAAAAAGAAGATGACATTCTGGCCTCTTATAAAAAGTACTTAAATGTCTGTCCCTTAAAAGATGTCTGTAAAATGGTTAAATAGAAAACAATAGAGTCCATTAGCTACAGGATATACAGGCACATTAACACTATTCCGTCTCTAACTCCTATTCAAAAACATAAAATATATTTTTCATGACATTTGGGTGCATTTAGACACTGAGAAATCTGTCTGGTAGCCAAATTCATATCGATATGTGATTATGATATGAACAGGTGTTTTAATAGAGTGAAATCCTTGAGGAACACTTCATCTATTGCACTAATCACTAGAGTTTTGTCTCAAAATCCTAAAAAGGCATAAAAAGTACCTCCTGATTAACTTGTCCTGCATTACTATTGCCTACCTATTCATAGTGTAAGTAGGAGTTTAAGAGGGCAGCCCAGTGGCTTAGTTTAGTGGCTTGGGGTGTGTGCTACAGATAGGATTTCCATTCCTTCTGTCTGGTTTCCTGGTTTGGCAAAGGCAAGGAGTGTTGCATCTCCTGGGTGACTGGAAAAGAGAATATCTCATCTCTCAGCAGTGAACTCTCCAGTTAATGAGGTAGCAATTCTGAAAGAAATACTATAGTCTTTACCAAAGCCAAAATGGGGATGGCTACGAGGAAAGAACCCAAGAAAGTGTAGCAGATGTAAACAGAATGGAGAGATCGAGAATCTCTACTGCTCCAAACAGAAACACAATAATCTTTTTTTTCTTCATTAACACTGCAAAATACTCCTCATTCCATCTGTGCATACCACTTTCTCTTAAAGGAAGGAAATGAAGTTTCACAGCAGACATATTATCTCTGCTTATTTGTCCCTTTTATGTTATTTTAAAAGGTGTAAACTTATACAGGTAGTTCCTATAAGTTCTGCAGGCAGGAGGGGCTCTTTAACAGCGTGGCAGTCACTTTTTTAAACTCCATCTACGTGTGTATGCATGTCTGCATGTTACAGAGAGAGACGGGAGAGCAAGCGGTGTGGCTGAATTTAGAAAGTTATAGATGTTCTCATCAGCCCCATGCAATGCAGAGATTCCTTCCAAAAGCCAAGGGAGCAGAGGCAGCAGACAACAGATGTAAGAGGGGTTCCCATATCTGTCAGTTTTCAAAGTGTTTGCATTGAAAAGAGAGGAGGTGCCATGTTGATTGATATTTCAGTCGCAGTATATAAAGCAGAGGAATTCTTCTTACCCTCTGGTTGTCATACTGATCTGCATACTCTCTCAGCTGGTCTTGGGGCTACTACTTACTGCATCTGAAAGACTGAAATTCACTGGGAATAAAGAATTCTTGTAACAATGCCGGAACCCACCAAGAAAGATGGTAAGTATAGCAAATATTACCTGAATGTTTCTTAATTACAGGAATTATGAATACACACACACAAAACACCTTTCAGACTGCATTTCAGCAACAAATAATATCTAAGAGTAATAGTTGTGTAACATCATAATGTCATTACAGATCACTGATCCTTTAAACTAAAACATTACTTTTGGGTAGGGGTGTAGCATGACACTGTTTCAGCCTCCAACTATTTTAGGCAATAAAAAATGGCTTTGCAGAGATATTTAGAAATTACTTGATTTGGCAAATGCTGTGTTCACTTTTTAAAGACTGCAGGGTTTTCATAGTGCTATTACTGATTTCTCTATAGCTGTCTAGATTCCGGAAATAAGGGAATAAGCATTTCTTTTGGTTTAAAAAGTCAGCATGTTGATATGTTTTTCATTAAGTTTTATAAGTTATTGAGTAGAAAGGATGGTCATAAAACAGGTTTAAGGTTCGGATTAAAATATGTTCTATAAGTCTAATGCATAAGTGTAGAATGTAGTTTTTCTGTACAGGTCAAACTGGAATAATACTCTTTGCCACACTACAGAAATTATTATTTCATGTTTCAGAAGGATAGTTAAAGACAGTAATACTGTCTTTCATGGTACTATTAAGTTTATAGCAAAGAAACTGAGTATATAGTCTGCTAGTGAGACAGAATTGTCCATTGGAGGCTGCTCAAACAGGAATAAAATTTTCAGGGTCTATTAATTCATAGCTTTTTAAAGGTAGCATTTATTTTTCACTAGTTTGAAAATTTAAGCTAAAGAAGCTTCTTATAGTTACATATTTCTACAGCCCTTCTTTTATTTTTCTTTCAAATTTAGACATTTTAGTATGAATTTTTGATGATTACATTCAACATTGACAATATACATAGATTCTACAAAGCCATACATGTGCAAACTGTATGAGCTTTGCAACTGTTGGCAAACAGACAGGTTCCCTAATGCATTCTCAGAGGAAAACCTGAGTTTAATCTTAAAGATAACCTGTGGAAAGTATAGATGTCATTAAATAGTGTTTATTTCCCATCAGTTCTGAAAGATCTGATAGGTGCATGTGTGTAGTTTGAATGAGTACATTTGATTTAACACTGATCTATCAATAGCATTTGCTTTATTTTAGAAGTCTTTTAAAATATTTTGTGAAAGGCAAGAGAAAAGTAGCTGTCAATCAGGAGCATTAGGCAGTTCCAGCACCTTATTGAGTTGGGGGATATATGAAAACTAAACTTTTTGGACAATTGAGTGTCAAGCAAGTTGTGTTGACAGACCAACGTGATCATTTTACCTTACCAGCCCTCCTTAGTGCTCGAGGACAATGATGGATGAAGTATCCTTCTTAAAATAGCTACACCAAGTGCATGTATTAATACAAGAGCCTAATCCTCTATATCAAATCTAGAGCCAAGCCCCTTCTAGAGTGTCTTATTTGTAATTCAAATGATTTACACATGTATTAAGTGTCCTTTTTATTTGATCTGTTAGTTGACTGAATATTACACAGTTTAATCAGAATGCATTCTGTGGCTGCCAACTTCAAAAAAAGAAAAAAAAAAAAAAGCCTAAAGTATTCCTGCACTTTCAAAAGATGCACACTTTGGAGGAAATTTGTTAGGATGGTCACGTTTCTAAAGGATATTATTCCATTTAAGACTAGATTGTTTCAAAGATGTTCTTACGATGCAGTGGTTACAAATGCAGCTCTGTGGTTGTGTTACAAAATAAGTTTAGCAACCCTGAAAAACATTATATTGACAGTAGAATAAATGTGATTTTTGATGAGTCAATATTCAGGAACATTAAAAATATTGAAACCTTCTGTCCTGATAGAGTGGGGGTTCACAAGCAGTAATGAGCTCTGGAAAAGTGATACACACAAGTTGGTCATTCCTCATTGCACCCAGCTTGTTTGGAGTTAGTAGATCAGGGTGATAATAAGTTCATCTTGTACTTCAGATGTTAGCTGCTTCTTAAAGATTTTTCAAGAACTCACCTAAATTGGTAGTGGTACTTTATAGTAAGTGCAAGTACTTACTATATTAGTGGCAGGAGTATTCTGTATCAATAATAGTACAATACCATTTCTACTGTTCATACTAACTCTACCATCAAATGCCTATTCTCAAGGTAATTTCCTAGGTAAGAAGGATAGAAGGTAACTGATTAATGGTGAACTTCGGACTGACTACATTCTGGAAGTTATCACTGGGAAGACTCTAAGAAACCTTTGGCAGACTATAATAACAAGCAGGCAGAGGCTAAAGGCTTCTCCATTATAGGGGCACCTAGATAGTATTCTTCTGACATTTCCAAAAGGAGTAACCTATATGAATGATCCCATGCTCCTTATTCTCATAGGTCCTGCCAGTTAAAAACAGCACTCAAGAGCAAGCAGCTGAGAAATCAGAAGAGGACTAACGCTTGAATGTTAAGAAAATCTCAGCTTTGCAATTTTTATCACAGCCGTGTCTGAATTGCATAGTGAGATTTTTCAGAAGCAGTGCTGTAAGAAGCTCCGAGGTCTTTTTTCAGGCCAAATGCTCTTTGAGCTATTTTAAGATTATTAGATTACCAAAGCGAGACATTTCCTGCCTTGATGAGAGTGTAGCCTCACAGTGCACTTTTAACAAATAGGATCACCAAATTAAACACACCATTCAGCTTAGAGAGGATTACAGGAGCACTTCAGCCTTGTGAAATTTCTTACTGTAGAAACAGGCTTGTAGAAAATGACTAATGATATAAGGTCTTTGCTGTAGTGTTAAAATGTTGAAGTCCTATGTATTAATCAGCTGTGGCTTCTTTGGAGTATACGGTCATGCCATTTTAAGGTTGTTTTTTCTTAGCCTGTTCAAAATTGCAAAAGGTGAAGTTTACATCAATGGATTAACTGATCCCAGCGGATTACTAGGATAGGACTGTGATGCCAAAGAAAGACCTTTACCAGTGCATTTAAATTTAACAGCCTTTGGTTTTCCTAGTGACTAATAAAATAACCCTCCTTCATATAACTACTTCCTGTGATTTATCATAATCACTTAGTCAATCTTTCCTCTCCCCCCTTTCCTTTAACCAATATTCATAATAAGAGCTGTCCATTAATTAGGTGCCCTCTTAAACTGTCGCAGAACATGGTATTTGGATATGCTTTTGTAAAACTGCCAAGTCTCCCAAGAGCAATGGTTTCAAACTGTGGGCATCATCCCACAGGGACAGGTGCAAGTCAGTCTCCAGTAGGCAGCTCTGTAAATTTGCCTCATTTATTCTCCCCAATCTAGGAAATAACTCATGGCCGCGAGTTAAGTGACCATTCCAGTTTCTATGCCAAAGCATTTATCAACTGTCTGCCAACTTTGTTTTCTAAGGGTTTGCAGGATTTGTGTGAATACTGCCTACAGTATCCACATATTGGCAGAGATTCAAAATTAAAGATCACTGTGTCTACTTTAGGCAGTATTTCAGTAAAGCTTTTTTCTATCTATAAACAGCATAGATTTCAAAGTTGTAAAGAAAACTATGTGCATGTATTGTCGGTTAGAAGAACAATCTCTAAAACATGAAGCAATTTGTGAAAGGAGGTAAAGAGGCGTATCAGTAGTGACTGCTTTGGAGATATGGTAATGCTGTTCTTTTTGAAGAAGCGCAGTTGAAACAGCCTTTACTTCTACTGGCTTTTAAACATGACTGGTTTTGTTTTATTGAATGATTCTTCTATAATTATATTTTTATTGTAGGTATAATATTTAAAACAATACCACAATCTGGTGTATCAATATAATAGGCACGGTCAAACAAGTGAGGTAGTCATGCAAATCATAGACATATAGAGCAGCATTCCAGTGGGAAATCAATCTCAGTATTAAGGCTGGATAAGAGTTAACTAAAGTCAGATTTCCTTTCATATCCTATTTTCAAGGCCAGACCATTTTTCAGAGGTGAAAAATAAGTTAAAAGGAAATTCTGCTTCACTCTAGGAATTTGGCTTGTGTTAAAATTAACACTGCTGATGGAAAGTTTTCCTAAAAAATTCAAGAACCCAGCATGTGAACATCACATAACATTGCTTAGTGCTTTCCCTGCAGAAGGCTGGACCTGTATAATTGTTTTATGATGGCACCAAACAGGGTAGTTGCAGCTGCTGCTGCCCTTGCTGCAGAGATACATGCTTCAGTGAGGCAAAAGAAAGCATACGGACATCCATCTTCTGCCACCATCATCGCCCCTCTGCAGGACTGACTGTAAAATGCATTCCCATTATTTCTAACTACCTTCAGTCCTGGAGCCAAATCACACTCAAAGTCAGGCCCATACATATCATTTATAAGTGCTGTATTGAAGTCACAGGTAAATGGGGTTTTGTGGATGAGGGAAAGAGGAAACCCTAACCTCTCATCTTATTTTCCTTCTCAATTCTTTAGAAAGTTTCTCTTCATCACCTGTAGCTAATAAATTTAAAGCCTTCACAAATGGGAAGCAAACTTACGCCTAACTGTTGTAATTAGATCTGCAAGAGTGGGCTGTGTTTCCACCCTGAGCCCCACAGAGCACTGTCCTCCTGCACAGATCTTGTTGCACCCTGGGAATTGAGTTGTTCTTAGACTGTCTTTGCCCTCCCATTCCTAATTTCCAAGTGTTGCTTCCACACTTCCTTCTGAGATACCAGAGCATCTCAGATTTATTCTTTGGTCTTCTGCCTCCACTACTCCTAGGTTTAAGACTACTTTTCCAGTCAGATTAATCTGATTAAGAAAACCCTATATTGGCAAAGAAAAATCCCCAAACTGGATATATTTTTGAGGTTTTATGTTTTGCTTTATTATCGTGTAAATTGAAGGAAATGCATTGATTTTTTCTTTTCTTATACAATGCATTGATTTTATGTTAATGCTAGTGTGTGAGGACAATACAAGATTGATCTGGTTTACTGTTGTACTTACATGAGCTTAAAAGCTCATTCACCCTGTGCAAAACACAATGCATCTA